TTATCGGTTAAATCTGAGATTATTTTATAATTACAGATTAACAAGGGACGAATTTTATATGGCTAATCTCTTGTTATAATTACAGATTAGGGTGTTAAGCTCGAAAATGAGGTTAATCTACTTATATGTGAACCTAGTATTACTTAACCCTTCTGTAATGTTTGGGTCAAAATTACCCAATTTTCATGAAAAAAAATCTTTAATTACAGAGTTAGGCAATTTTAAATAAGCTGCGGCGTTGTCTATTCGTTAAAAGCGTAATCAGCTATGGCTTTGCAAAAAAATATAAGGGTTTATTATTTTATTTTGTTTCCTAGAAGGCAACATAGTTTTTCCATACACCCACAGTATTTCTGGGTCATTTTGACCAGATTATTACTTAGTATTTAAGGGCAACTTTGAACCGGTAAGAATAGAGCACTTGCCGATAAAGTTTCTGTAAACAAAATATTAACTTAATAAATTTTTTTTCTTAAAATTGACTAATTTTTATTATTGGGTCCTAATGACCCAAAACATTATAGGAAGGGGTAAATTCTAAACACTGCAGAAGGATTAACATTTATGGTAGTCATGCCAGAAATTTCACAATTCTAACAACTGACGCCTAACTAACGATATAAGAAAAATAAGAGAATCGAGTTCTCAGAATCGATTCTCGATCGATTCCGAAAATTTAGAATCGGTTCTCTAAAATCGATTATTTCGAGAAAATCTTCGATTCTAGAGTGAAATCGAAATCGATTTTTCCATCCCTATCTCTAACACGAATACGACCTCAAATAAAGAAAAAAAAGTGTCAAATTCAAACGAAAGAGATTTTGCTATCATGTGAGCTAAAATGGATAATTCAAGCAAAAAAGGCAAGAAATAATCGTAAAAACATTCGTATTATTATAATTAATTGTTTGGTATATTTTACAGTGTTTAAAAAACTTCTAGTGCTCTGTTCGATGTGATGGTAAAAGAGCTGGAGAAAAATCCAGACTTGACAAGAGGCGCTCCAACGTTTGGTGTGAGTAAGAGCCTGGTAGAACTGCAGTGGAATAAATTAGCCAAAAAATTAAACGCACATGGACCTCCACAAAGAACAGATACCGAATAGAAAAAGGTAACTCCTTTTTATAAATAGTAAATTGTATCAAAAATTGAGCTTGTAATGTTTTTCCAGATTTGGGCTGATCTTAAAAGCCGCACAAAGAAGAAAATTGCAGAAAATGCGTCCAACATGCCTGTTCGGAATGCTAGAAATGCACGTCTACTTACTCGGCGTCTGGCAATTCCAATACATTTGTACTGTCTCGAAGCCTCCGAATCCGCTATTCGTCTTCGTCCGAGCGTTGACTACAAGAAATGCTATTGCTTGATACGTTTTTAAATAATTCTATTAAAACATTCCCCCTTATTCTAGAACCCGAATTTTCGTAGTTCGTAATTCGTAGCTACGCTACGAAAACCGAAAATTCCATATGGTGCAACCCTTGCGGAAACATGTGCAGCATTGCCAGCTGTCAGTTGTTTTTCGAAGATAGCTGAATGAAGGAAAACAAAGTGGAAAGGAATTAAAAAAACACTCATGAAGTGCTTATTTACAGAAAACTTGTTGATTTTACATATTTTGAAGGAAACGAGGGATTCTATTGCATTTGCAATTGTAGCAGCGGAGTAAGAGCGCGCTATGGGAATAATTTCACAAAGATATGCGGAGCTGTCGGGCATAGTAACCATGGGCGCATCTATGTCAGCTTATGGTTGAATTGTTGAACCACAAGTCAGAACTCCTCCTATGTCTGAAGATCTGGTTCTCAAACCAGTTAATGCAATAACCAAGCCATTGAAAACATGCACTTTATTAGGTCCACCACCTGTTACACTTGCGTCTGCCTTCGGCCGCGCTTAGGGATTATAACCCTTACTAAGTAGAATTCTCCTTTCCTTCTTGCCGGAGAAGAGGGGCTTCCGCATGTCAAAGGTATACAACACTTCTTCTGCATATCACTCCGGCTACGCCATCCACAGTATTTTTGCGCAGAACCCACGTCGAAATTTGCAAAAAAGTGCATAGTGCAAACCGAATTTATTAATACTAGTGGTCGGAAATTCGAAACATTTATTTTGAATACAATTTTAATCCTTTGGTTACACGTGATGTTAAAGTTTTTGGATTCGGGTTATGCGTTTGGACACAACAACCGAAAATCATTGTACAAATAACTAAACCGGACCCAATTTTCTCGACAAGGGGCAGCAAAGATTCTTTTTTACTAGTTTATATAAAGCAGTGGATAAAAATATACGTACATGCGAAAAGCAAATTTATCTGTTTAAATGAACGCCACTAATATTTCCTGCAAACACACATCGCTTTACATCTTTTATCTCGCCTCACACACAGACACAGAATTGTTTTCGTACAAAATTACGCAAAAAAGCCTACTCGTTCGTTTTTAGGCATGCCATTGTTACGAATTTCGAAAGTTCGAAGATACGATTCGGATTGCAGCATACTATTTCTACGATTCGTAGTAAAATCCGAATACGAAAGTGTTGCAGAATAGGGGTGATAAATTCCTACGATCCGAAGATCTTCTCGGGCGAATAACGTAGGAACGTAAGGATGGACGAAAATTATCATTCGATAAAGACTTCCGAATTCAGACGATTTCTTTTGGACACGAATCGTTCGTCTGGCTGTTCGTTCGAGATAGAGAATCAGGCAGTAATAGTCAAACTACTCATTTACGCCATACTACAAACACAAAAATGTAAATGTGTTAGAATTTTTGCCTAAAGTGCTCAGCAATGTCTTGTAGTATACGTGTATTGTAGTTTCGGTCATTCGAGTTTTGCAGGGTAGTTCATTCAATCAATTTCAGAACTTTCTTTAGGGTGATTTTCGCCTCTCTTTGTTAGCTGCTGGCCCGTAGTGCACCGAGTGTTATATCCCCCCTATTGTACTCAGTTATTCTAGAACCCGAATTTTCGTAATTCGTAATACGTAGCTACGTTACGAAAAACGAAAAATCGACATGCTGCAACCCTTGCGGAAAAATGTGCAGCCTTGCCAGGTATCAGTTGTTTTTCGAACTTAGCTGTATGAAGGAAAACAAAGTGGAAAGGAATTAAAAAACACTTATCATGTGCTTGTTTATAGTAAAATTGATTGATTTTAAATATTTTGAGGAAAATTATGGGTTCAGATGCATTTGCAGTTATAGCAACGGAGCAGGAGCGAGCTATGGCAATGTATTCACAAAGGAATGCGGAGCTGCCGGGCGTAGTAACCATTGGCACATCTATGTCAGCTTCTGGTTGAATTGTTGAACCACAAGCCAGAACTCCTCCTATGCCTGAAGAACTGGTTCCCAATCCAGTTAGTGCAATAATAGCTTCTTCCAAGCCATTGAAAACATGCATTTTGTTAGGTCCACCACCTGTTGTGCTTGCTTCTGCCTTCGGCCGCGCTTAGGGATTATAGCTCTTACTAAGTAGAATTCTCCTTTCTGTGTTGCTGGAGAAGAGGCGCTTCCGCATGTCAAAGGTATACAATATTTCTTGTGCATATCACAGTATTTTCGCGCAGAACCCACATTGAAATTTGCAAAAAAGTGCATAGTGCAATCCGAATTTGTTAATAATTTGAAACATTTTAAATAAAAGTTTAATCCTTTAATTACACGTGCATGTTAAAGTTTTTGGATTCCGGTTATGCGTTTGGACACAACAACCGAAAATAATTGTACAAATAACTAAACCGGGCCCAAGTTTCTCGATATGGGGCAACAAAAGTTCTCTTGCTCGTTTATATGTAGTAGTAGATAAAAATATACGTATATGCGAATGGCAAATTTATCTGTTTAAATAAACACCACTAATATTTCCTGCAAACCCACATCGATTTACATCTTTTATCCCACCTCCGACACAATTTTTTTCGTACAAAATTACGCAAAAAGGCTTACTCGTTCGTTTTTAGGCATGCCATTGTCACGACTTTCGAAAGTTCGACGTTACGATTCGGATTGCAGCATACCATTTCTACGATTTGTAGCTAAATCCGAATACGAAACTGTTGCAGAATAGGGGTGATAAATTCCTAGGATGCACGCTTGCATTGTGTTATCCCCTATGACGAATCGATTTTTGCCGTATGAAATCCGATAGTTAGCGTAGCTGATTTATGGATCGCTTTACTTTAGTCGGATTACAGGAGGTTAGAGGTATGCCCGCATTTTGAGCAAAATAAACTTCAGATATTTCTGTCCCCCTCCTTGCCAGCAGTTTCCAGGGATGTCCCTGTGTCCAGAGAGTCATACAATAGTCAAGGAGCATTTTGATGCCAGCAGGTTGAGAGTTTTCCTGCGTTCTATAGCAACTTCGGACGTTGTTATGTTAGATTTTAGAGATTTCATAGCAGCCTTCTAATAAATTTGTACTTCCAACAATGATTCTATTCTAATGTAACTGCTGTCTTCAAATCCTTGGGTAAATGTTTACATGGTTTAAACATTTACAGCTTATAATGAAAACGACCAAATACGTTAAAAACTATTTTTTATAAAAGCATACGTGTTTTTATTCAATGCGAAAAATGATTTAATCTAATTAGCAGGTCTGTATTTTTTCATAATGGAAAATAGCAAAAAAACATTTTTTAAAGTAAAATAAATATGAATTGTTAATAAAATTTGCACTTGCTTTTAGCGAATTCACTTATTAAGAGCCGATTTTGTTTTTTGCGAATTCTGTAGCTGTTCTTATGACTTCATCCACATTTTCATATCTCGAGCCAGAGGCTTGGGCAGATTCTGCTTTACCACCTCCTTTTCCACCAATAATTTCGGATAATTGTTGGACCCATTCGTTAGCTTTAAGGCCTTTGTCTACAGCGGACTTTGGAACTGAAGCCAAACAAAATACCTTCTTTGAATCCTCGTCAACGGATAGGAATAACGCAGCGGCATCAGGGCACAAAGAGCGTACTTGCTTCAGCGCACCATCAAGAGCCTTAGTATTGTTAAATGCCTCAAACTGTTTCACCAACAATGTAGCCTGTGGGTTCGCTTCGCAAATCTCTTTTGTCTTTTCGATCACGGTTACCGAAACTGCTGCTTTCATTGTGCGCTCCTTGTCGTCGAGTGTCTTCTTCAATTGCTTAAGTAGATTACGCATTTGGTCTTTTTTTATATACGGAATTATGGCTTGCGACACCTCCTCTGTGAATTCCACTATTTGTTTCACATAGCTTTTGGAGTTTTTGCCATCCTCATCAGCTTCAATTGTGGATTTTAATGCTTGTATTTTCTGGTGAAGTTCATTGTTCTTTTCTAAAGCTTTTACAGCATCGGGACCAGTTAGAGCCACAATACGCCGTATGCCTTTCGCAATTGCTTCTTCACTAGTAATTACAAATTCCATCATATGGCCCGAGCGTTGCAAATGTGTGCCACCACAAAATTCGACTGAAGTTTTCTCTCCAGCACCGCTGTCGGGATTATTTTCAAGCTCTTCTACTGGCACACCAAACGAAATAACACGTACCGGATCTGGGTAAACCTCATCAAAAACTGAGCGAAGTCCACGTATCTTCTTTGCTTTTGCCAATTTGGTTTCTTTTGCGAAAATCGGCATATTTTGATAAACAATATCTCGTGTTAATTGTTCTGCTTTAGCTATTTGTTCAATTGACATAGCGGACTTGCTACTGAAATCAAAACGTAATTTATCTGGCACTACCAAAGATCCTTTTTGGTCAGTCTCTTTGCCAAGTACTTGAAGCAGACTGTGATTTAGGGCATGGGTGGCGGAATGGTTTTTCATGGTTAGCCAACGGCGTTCAATGTTAATTTTAAGTTCAATTTCGTCGCCTACAGCGAATTCTCCATCTGCAACGCCAATATGCAAAATATAACCACCACGATTAAAAACAGCTTCAACAAAAAACTTGTCAACACCGCTATTGGATTTGTTGAAAGAACCTTTGTCATAAATTTGACCACCACTTTCTGCATAGAAATTTGTTTGGTCTAAAATTATGCCTGCCTTACTGCCAGCTTCTATTTTATTGACAAACTGGTTCCCAAATCGCAGAGCAAATATCTTCGCTTTGCATGAACTAAAAATATAAGGCGAATCGAATTTGTCAGATTCGGCCTGATATTTGTATTTGGGCGAATCATTCGTAATAGGTATAGATCTGGATTGTAACTCTGATATGGCGTGAACATCCAAGTGAATTTCCTCCGCTTTCGTTGCGCTCTTGCCCTGAGACATTATGTAGGCAGCCTGCTTTGCTTGCTCATATTCTTCCATATTTATTTTTAAGTTCTTCTCCTCAGCCATAAGTTGGGTAAGATCAACTGGGAATCCATATGTGTCATACAGTTTCCAGGCCAAGTCCCCAGGAATTATATTCCTGTTGCCCAATTTGGCAACTGTGCGATTGAAAAGATCTCGTCCGCGTGATAATGTCTTTAGGAACTGCGCTTCCTCCTCGTTTATTATTTCAATTATTTGCTGAGGACTCTTTTTGACCTCAGGGAATGCATCACCTAGCAAATCCACGACAGTGTGAACTAGGGATGCAAAGAAACCTGGTTTAGCGATTAACTTTTCAGTGGCATATCTAAAATTATAAAGAAAATTAGATATCATTAAAATCTCAGTTCAAAGGCATTGGAATTTATTTTTAAGTCTGTATGTGTGTATTGTAAACAAGATATTTATGTATGTGCTTCCATTAAATTTAAGTTTATCTTTCATACCTAATAATTGAGGGATTCACAAGATGTCTTAGGATTTTCGCTGGGTACAATAAGAACTATTTGTATGTTTTATACAAGTTTAAAAACATTTTAGTGTAGTTACAAATTCTCTAAATGCACGTTTTAGGGATATTGCGTTTTAATCGTATATTGGGGCTGAAATCTTTATTTTTTAGTTGTCTCTCTTTTGTTTGATTAATGTACGTATGTATTTTTTTGAGTTATTTTGAGTTTAACCCCTTTTGTTGAATTTTTACTTGATTTTCTTTAAAGAGTCAATGTAAATCAAGGCATAACAAGGTAGAAGTGATTTCGACATTTCTCTCTTTTGAACTGCGACTGTAATGTCAACTCTTAACCCTATACAATTCAAAATTTTAATTTTTTAATTTCAATTTCCACTGATTCTAAATACATACATACAAAAATAAAATGAAAAGGAATTACGAGCGGTGCGCTCTGTGTGGCAAGAGCCGGGACAACAAACTTGTGCGTTATTTTAAACCTCCTCAAATGCTCCGCGAACACCATGATACAATTGCGTTCCACTAAATTTACCGCTTTAGATCACCATTTACTGCTATAAATTCGACGTTCTGGTTCTTAAAATCCCTTTTCCTTTTTTCATAATGCCATGTGAAAAGAGTCGTGTTTTTATTTTTCATACATAGCTGGATTTATCATACGGAAATTAAGCATTACTAAATATGACGAGAAAATCTCCCACTCATATACATGGATAGACCAAATTTGAAATGGTGGTATGATAAAACCTAAACCAGAATTCCTTGTGGACATAAAGAAACTGCAAGTAATTTTTAATAAATTTAATGGAAAGGAAATTTCGCATTGCAAAAATTTAATAGCTGAATTATTGAAGTTAAGTTCCGATGTAAATTTAGAAGAAAGAATCAAAAAATTTTTTTTTTAAATGTTGAATATACTCTAGAAAGAATTAAGTATTTGAATAAAAAAATAAATGCTCAAAAACATTGGGCTAATAAAAACAAGAAAATTGCCAAAACGGTTTTATAAATAATTGTGTTTTATTTAGTGTGTAATTTTGAGTATGTATGCATTTCCACATTTACATACATTAAACGAAAATACAAAAACTAAAATGAAGCCGATTTTAATGTGATTTTAAATATTTTCATATTTACAAAAACTTTCATTTCATAGATATTGAATTTTATCAAATATGGCGCATGCATAACAAAGGGTTAATTTCTTTGTTTACGTTTTTTTACATTACAGCATGATACAAAAAAGAAGGTAGTTTCAATAAACAACTTTTGACGGATAATAAAATTTTTTGAAGTTCATAAATTGTGAGTATTATCATCGGCCTTGCCACTTTGATAATATTAAAACAATAAATCGGAGTATTTTCCTTCCCATATTTATACCAATCTAATAATATTTCAAATCAGAAGCCATATCAGTGCTTGGTACTTTTTTACTTACGTGGCTCGCACCTTTTTTATTAAAAATATTTAAAATGGAAACTGTTAAAGGAGACTTCATCGTAATTGCTCTTTTCATTTTGTAATAAAAACCACGCTCGCATTATTCTGTTATTTTTTTGTTTCTTATTTTGAATGCAATCTTGCGTTTCGATTCTAAAGAATGTTCTTCCCAAATAAAACCTTTTTATATTTCGGTTCAAATTTACTTTTAAATTTCTCATAAGATTTTGCAAAAACTTAGGCTTTGTGATTAGCGCATCATCATTAAATTTCACAAATTCTTAATTTATGCAAAATACCTGAAGTCGGCCCTCCGATAAACAACTAACAGATGTCGTTTAAAGTACAAAACCGTGTATCAACAAAATGCACAACTGCGTCTGTGAGGTTGAATATATTGTTTTGTAGAGAGTAAAAACACTCATATTTCGAAATGGTTCTCTTTTTTACAAAGAAATCGCATTTCAGGACGAATGGATAAGTCTTGAGCCAAGAGCTTGTGTGAGCAAATCCAATTTTTTGGCAAAAAATGTCAATTACGCGGTTTTGCCGAACGACGATACGCGGTTTTGTACTTTAAGCAACGATATGAAACCTGGTCGTCAACCCCATTTTCGAAATCATGTAGCCGGCATAATTTTCTAGTTCATCATATCCCACATCGTTGAATGTACTGATAAAGGCTGCGTTTCTTTATACATTCCGGATAATCCCATTTCACAGCCGGAATAAACAGAATGCGTTTGAAATACACGTTAACATATCGAGCCCTAACCGCCAAAATAACGTAAGCGCCATTTTTTTCAAAATTTTCTTTTCGATGCAGAAATACATCTAGATGCCCGAGAAATATTTCTGCATCAAAAATGGCGGTTAGGGCTCGATATCATCAGGAACGTTCTAAAGAATAAGTAAACAAAAAAGTTTATTCCGAACGTTCAGAATGAATAAAAAAATGCCGCCAAAATCTTCTGGTTAAAAAAAAAAATATTTCTTGTAGTGATCAGGTAGCATGAATTTGATGAAATGTCATAATTTTATTAAAAGTCAAATAGTTAACAACAACAACGAATGTCATTATATGAAACTACCTTCTTTTTTGTATCATGCATTACAGTCAGGTATGAGAGAGCTCGACTGAATTGTCACTTCTACCTTGTTGAATATATATATATAAGGTGGTATTACTAGCTCAGCTGATTTTGTGTATGTGTTTCGCCGCACGGCTCCTGATATCAAATTGAAAAATTTTGTTTGAATTTCTACACACACTCTTACCAAAGCCAAAGCAAAAACAAAATACATGTAAATTTTTGTTTTTGTACTCCTGCTATCACCTTATATTAATTCGCCTTGATATCCCTTGATGTAAATGTATAGTGAGCAACATTTTCAATTCATTCATTCAGCAGCAAATAGGCCAATGTATTTAAAAAAAAAACACTAAGCACCAGTACACAAATCAGAAAATATCTTTATTATTAGATATTAATAAATTTGAAAAAAAAACACTAAGTCACCAGTACACAAATCAGAAAATATCTTTATTATTAGATAGTGATAAAGCATATCGTCGCTTTGCCAACAAAAACAGTTGTCTTTTTTACAGCCTTATTCTGTATCCCGAACGATAGGCAACACGAACGATTCTTCTGCAGACGACAACATCTCTGATTGCGATTTTATTACTCTATCGGTCGTCTTCGTCTTGATTTTCATATATTACGTTGCATAGTCTCGGTTGCATTTAAACCGGCTAGAATGATACCCCCGGACTAATTTTTGAAGCATTCCTCTGCAGACGAATCGTTCGTGTTGCCTATCGTTCGTGGCTGTTAATATCTTTTTAGGAGAGCAAAAAAACTGATTACTGGTGCCAATAGGCAATATTTTGCAAATGTATTAAAAAAAAAAGTATATTAAAAATAAGTTATTTTATTTATTTATTTATTTATTCATTTATTGACAGCCTTTAAAGGCCTATAACAAGTCTGAAAATTTACAATATTTGCTTACTATTTTATTTGGTACAATTTTGGGTTTATAGTTTTTATATTGATATATGCATACATTACATCACAGGATCCACAATCATACATGAAAACAATATTCTTATTTCACTACATATTTTGTTCTTACACATTTTTTTGAGAGGACTATCCTAACATTTATCCTGTACAAATATATATACATTTAAACAAGGTAATTTTATTAATTATATTAAATTAAATTATAAGTGCGACCGTGGCTGTCGGAATGGACGGGATCCCGAGCAGCCCGAATGTTGGGTACTGTTTAGGTGGGCGGCCCGAAAGGACGAGTTCCAGAGCCGCACTTCCTGTACCATTGCTGTGGACTTTATTCCAAGTCGCAACTTCACTTCAGGCTTTGTGGTCATATGTAAAGGCTATAAAGTAATTTGTGATCAGTCGGAAAGTACTAGTTTCCGAGCCAATCTATCTTTAAATATTCCGGTTATACAAGTGGTCTGAAAGGATCTAGATCTTGAGCCGTACTGTAGGGCGAATGGAAAGGACTAGTTTCCATGCCGACCCTCTCTACTGGAAAGGATCTAGATCTTGAGCCGTACTGTAGGGCGAATGGAAAGGACTAGTTTCCATGCCGACCCTCTCTACTGGATCAAGCAGCAATCCTTTAAAACAAAATTTTTTTATCATTTCATTCTATACATATATTTTGCAGTGGTGGTATAATCGACTTTTGAATTGTTGTAAGCTGTTGCAGCTTCTTATATTTGCCGGCAGTTCGTTGTATGTTTTTAAACCTTTATAGTACAAATCTTGCTTTAGGTTTTCCGTTTGGCAGAATGGGAGTTTAAAATTAACCCTAACTTGATTTATGAAAAAAAAAACAAAAACAAATTTTTTTTACCAATTTTTTTAAGCACAGCTGTTTTTGTACACGATTTAAATTTGCTTTTGGCGGTATGGGATCGTATGCAATATGTACATAATACTGCCGTTAGGCCTAGATGCAATGTATAGAAGTTGAGGACTCGATTGGTTAACTGCCCGTTGCTTCTATCTAGCGCGTTGGTGTCCTTGTTGCGGGGCTAGATCTTAAGTGGTGACATGGGTGCCCTTAGGGGTTTCCATGTCGGCATGAACTAACAGGGATGCTCCGCATGGGAACCTGTGTAGGACATGTGCTTACGCAGTTTCCGATGTGGAGATTACCGTACCAACAAACCCAGGGGGACGTCGCGTTTGCGAGGCTACGGGTGTCACAATCCTGGGTACCCCAGTCAAAGGCTACCAATCCTGAGTCGGTCGGAGGCTCAATTGGTAGAAGAGTCTTCGGCTTTCGAAAGTCATACCTAAGACTTTTAAATAAAAAAGGCACCGCGGCCGAGCATATGCCCCTGGAGTGTGTGAGAAGAACAAGGCCAAAAGGCAGGCTAGATGTACATGTAGGA